AGTAGTATTATAGACACACTGACAGCAGTGCTAAGGAAGGACACATAAAAAGGGGGAAAATGCTTGAGAGAGCCAGGCAGGACTTCACAGAGGAAACGACATTTCAACAGGCAGAGAGGGGAAGAGGACATTTTTGGCAGAGGAATCAAAAGGGTACGATCAAGAGAATGTGCCAAAGCATCCTGGGAAACCTTAATTGTTGTGCACTTTGCTAAATACCATAAATATTACATGAATTCTTAAAGAAAAACTTGTTAAAAATAAAGGCTTTGAGAGATTCATGACATTGACTGTAACAAAAGTCTTAATCAATTTCTTACTAGAATTCTTATATGAAGTCTTACCATGTGGTCTAAATCTAGTATCATTCCATGCTGTTTTTATTTAGCTTGCCTTTGGTCAGTTTTGACAAAAAGGTAAACTTTTTTCTTTGAGACTAGGAACTGATTCCATTTTACAATATATTTTCAACATTCAGAAGTCAAAATCTGTGACACTTTCCACCTTGTCAATTGCACACTAAGCTATGGCATATGACCAGGCTAAAAAACCCACAATTATACAAAGCCAATCCGCTGGGATCAGAAATTTGCCAAATCTTATAATTTAGAAAGAAACTGTTAAAGATGGTTATGGGGTTTTGGCACTGTGAGCCTAAGCTGTTCCATACTGGAGTTTGTATTTCATCTAATCAGCAAGTCGGAACCTATAAAAGTCTTTGTGGGGGGAAAATTAAAAATTTGGATTGTAATACATGAGTCTTTCCTTCCCTTCCATATGTGCCTGTAAAGCAAAACTTATAAATCTTGGTTTTTAAAAAGTATTTTGAAAAAAAAAGCAGCCTTAAAAATCGTATTTTTGGTACAGAAAGTTTAAAATATTCAGCCTTGAAAATCAAAAAGAAAAAATAAGGACACATGGTTTCTATATCCAGTGTCATGGTCTAGGCATACTGAGAATTATGCACATGTATGGTTCAATTTTCTTTCCTAGCTTTGGGGGGAGTGCACTGGGTACCCGAAACTTTTATAGCTATTCTGAAGGTGGTCACTTAGCAATCTAACTCAAAACATTTCCACTTGAACTCCCTAAGAAAATCCAGATAGTCCTGAGCAAGAAGTAGTATATGAATTCTATTTTTTTTTGGTGGAACTGGGGATTGAATTCAGGCCCTTACACTTGCCAGGGAAGTGCTTATTCTACTGAGCCATCTCCCTGGCCCCATGAATTCCATTTTTATATAAAGTTGTGTGAATTATCACAGTATCAGGATAGGAACTGGTCTTCACAGAGAAAAATTTTCTACAGAAGTAAATTAGGTTAATGGCACAAACAACAACTTGTACCTTTTGATTTCAAGTTCTCTTTTCCCTCCTGTCTTTTGTTGAACTTCATGTTGATTTCTTTTACAATTTCTTCCTTCATGCTTTTGGTTTCCATTGTTGTGTTAGTTATGGACATTTCTTCATCTTTATCCTCTTGCACTTCAGTGAAAATTTTTAATTGTCATAAAAATCTCAGTCTTATTTTTCCCCAGTATATATGTACATTATATACATATGTATGTATATATGATATATGCATATATAAACACATACGTATATATGTGTAATATAGATATATAGATATGTAGATGATATCGATATAGATAAGATCTAGGTATAGATATAGATATTCTGGGGAAAAAACATTTCATGGCATCTTGCTTCAAGAAATGCTATATGGTACCATCTGTAAGGATTATAATTTTTTTTTAATGTATTTGGTTGTTGCAGGGTCTTACTACACAGCTCAGACTCATGGTGATCCTCCTGCTTCCAGCCTCCCCACTGCTGGGATTACAGGTGTGTGCCACTATGCCCAGACTCTGGCTGGCTCAGCCTGCTCTGGGGGTGGGGATGGCATGGCATTTGGTGCCAGTGATCCAACCACAGTCCCTGTGTTTGCCTAAGCTTGCCTAAGCAGGCGCCTTAGTCCACTGAGCTATCTTGCCGGCCCAGGATTATAATTCTTTAATAGTTTCTTCATGTTTGTGTCTCCTAATAATTTCCTTCATATCCCCACCCTATAGTTGAGGCTCGCCTAACATGACTGTCAATCTTACTTGCCTACTGATAGTTAAGCATTAATAATAGCCAAGTGAAGTTCCTACGGTGTAGACAGGCTTTTTACATGGAGCCACTGATTTACAGGTGGGTGCTCAAATTTAGGTATATGGAAATCTTTCCCCTAGAATAATTTAATTTCTTTCTTTTAATTTCTTTATATAAGAACTCATGATGTCTTTGGAGATCAGGTATGAGGAAAAAAGGTATTCAGTGGGGATAGATATAAATTTTGTGCTGTTGTATTTTACATAAAGTAGTGGAACAATATCAAATATCTGATTATCCCATGAAAGGACTTTCTATCAATTCTCTTTTCACTCCCCATCTTAATCAATTTTCTGTTGCTATAACAAAATACCAGAAGCTGGATTATTTATTTACAAAGAGGGTAAGTTAGCTCATAGTTCTGGAGATTCAAAAATATGACCCCAGTATCCTCTTGGCTCTGGTAAGTATGTTCTAGCTACACTAGCAGATGGTGCATGGTGACAGCAAAAGAAGAAGGGGCGATCACATGACACGATAGGAAGCCAAAGGACTTAGAGGTCAGGCTGCTCTTTTGATAATGACTTGCTCTCCTAAAACCTCATTCTGTAAAACCAGCATCAATACCTTCAAATAGTGATTTCCCCGAGATCTAACTAGCTCACTCTTAAAGGTTCCACCACTTCTTATGGCCACCATGAAGGGACCACACTTACAGTAATAAACCTTCGGGAAATGCATTGGAAACATACCTGAACCATAACACCATTTCCATCTTCATTCCATTCCAACTGAGCAAGCTGTTCCTGAGTCCGGGACTTCTCTTACTCCCCTGTTCTGCAAGTGGGACTGGGAGTCCCGTTCCTGGCACTGGCAGGCCCAGGCAAGACCTGACTGAGGTGTTCCTAGGCTGACACTGACTATCCCACTTTATGCCCTTTAACTCGCTTGCTTCCATGTCAACTTCCCGGAGTCGTGAGTCTCTTCAAGCTTGGGGCTAAGTTTGATTTGTCCCTGTTATCCCATTCCAGACAAAGTATCTTTAGAATGTAGTTTCCTATCCTCTGACAAATGAGTTATAACATTTCCATCCACTTTCTGGTTTTCAAAAATACCTTCAAATATCTTATCCACTGGAGTATATACTCTTATTCTGAGTGCTTCTGAATAGTTAGTCTTCCTCCATCCTTTACCCTGTGAAAGCATATTCTGACTTACCTACATGATCAATTTCTTTGTCCACCCTTCTTTGGTATCATAATTACTCCTAAATATATTACTTTATTTTATTTTTTCTTTTGGTACTAAGGATCAACCCCAAAGCCTTTTCAATGAGTTATATATCCCAGCATCACCCCTTCCTCACTTCTTATATTTCACTGCTATCACCAACGCTCTAAGTTGTCAGGCTGGTCGTGAAGCTGAAATCCTCATGCCTCAGTCTCCTGGAGTGCTGGCATTACAAGCATATATCACCAAGACAGGATAAATATATATTCTTTTAAAAAAGATATTTAGAAGGGTTATTGGTGGGTTGATTTTTATTTAATTTCTTGGCCTACAGATTCTCGGATCATGCAAGCAAATTCAAAACCTAAAGTTAAAAAAAAGAAAGAAAATCCAAAATAATCTAAGTTTTCAAAGGGAGGGTGGGGTCAACAAACTTACAGCACAGAATACGCTACGCCTCTACCCAATGCCACGCTGAGATGGTCCCTTGCTATGGCTGCCTACTTGCCAGGGTGTGCAAACTTGCTTTATGGTATTCCAATACTAAGGGCAGGAATTTCTCGGCTTTATTTAAGCATCTAATTTTGGTCTTGCATTGGTACAAAGGTGTGTCTCCTAGTCCAGAAAAAAATAGATAAACAAACAAACAATCAAAAAAACTTTTCATTGTTTTCCACAACTGGTAAATGGTCCAAAGGACTGCGGAATCTGCCTCCTCCTCAACATTCCCATGTTAGTCCTACTTTACTGCTAGCTCTCGGGGACTCTCTCAACTTTCCCAGCTTAGCTAAACATTAAAAGTATCTTGATACATTTTGTTAGACAAATCTAATATTGCTGAGTGGGATGTTTCAAGTTACTTGGCCTGACATTAACTTACTTAAGTGTATTTGAATCTTTGAATGGATATACAAATAAAATATTTTTCTGAAGGATATTTACCAATGAATTCACCTAAAGCACCACCTTACTATTTTGTTCTCTAATTTAATATTTATTTCTTGTTAATATTGGAAAGAAGTTTAGTGATAGAACTAAAAGTATACAGATATTAGGATCAAAGTCTAGTTCTACCATTTATTAAATATGTGGGCTCAGAGAGGTTTTCTTTACTATTTCATACTATATGAGGTAGAGACATTCATACCACTTATAAACACCTATTTTTGTAAGTTATAAACAATATTATCAATTTCTTACATCTCACTGTAAAATGACTTTCAAGAACCTGTGCTTTCCTAGAGCACTTGTCACTGAGTGCAGGGCTAAGTGATAGTTTACTTACCTTACAGAATGACTTAAATTAGAAGGAATTCCAAGGTTATTTGTCAGAATCAAACTTTTTTCAAATTACAGACAATTTGAGGATAACATTGGCTTATGAAACATAGTATTTATGCACATATTGCTATTAGAACGACTATTAGCTAATCACACACTTGGAGTTTTCCATTTATATTTTTCATTCATGTTGTATTGAAAATGCATGAGATGCATTTTTTTCCCCAGGCCGAACTCCATAAGCAAAGTAACATTTTTTAATTTACAGGGTCTAACAGTAGGACCATCAAGGTACTACCTGAGTTAACTGGCTCATAACCAGTACCCCAAGCCCTGCTGTCCCAGTCTGCACAGAGAAAATCAATGTCTTTGGGAGTGAGAGAGGTAGCTACTCACCGTGAGAGCCAGCAGTTTCCCATAGGTGAGATGAGCGGGGATGTGGTCTGTCTTGGATCTCAGGGACTCCATGTACCAATGCTCTGCTTCGGGGAGCTTGCTTAATCGCATATACGCTTCACCTGTAAGAGAATTGTGCAGCTCAAATCGAGGCTGTAAAATCAGGTGTGCTACTGCATGACAGATTGACTATAGCTACCTTTGCTGTACCTTACATTCCCAAAAGCCACAAGAACATCAAGAATTTTCATCACTAAGAAATGACAAATGTTTGAGGAGATAGGTATGTTTAACCTGATTAAATATTATATAATATTATGTGCACCACAACATCAAATAGTAACTGGAAATACACATGTATTCTGCTAATTATGCATTAGTTAAAATAAACTTAAAATTATAATACAACCTATGACAAAACCTTGAGGTTATGGCTTTCCCATACAAATACAATACCACCTTCCTCATCATCATGTCTACATACTGTAGAATTTCAGATACTATGACAAGTTCCTTTCTTCATTTTCTCATGTGATTCCCAAAAATGGCATCATGATTTTCACTTTATAAATGGAAAACCTTGTCTTTCAAAAGTAATATAAAATAGGAAATGCTAAACATTTGAGAAACACTAGATATGGCTTCCAATACCTAACCTAGCAACATCTGATTTATAGGGACGGCCTCGCTATCACTATTTGTTTTCTTAAGGAGTTGATTTTTTTTTCTGTATAATTATTTATTCCTTTGTATTCAGAGTCTTTTGTTTCTTAGGAAATTTAAGTACAGTTCAATGAACAGAGTGCAAATGGGTCTGAATGAAATAACACTGCTAGAATTGTGTGCATCTTGGGTTAATAAGTAAATAAAATTTATTAGTTTCATTTGGAAAAATCTGCTAAATATATGACAGCTATCAAACATGCTCAGGTTTCACAGGACACAGAGCTACTCTGAGACCTTTCAGTCGCTTGTCATTATGTTCACATTATTCAACGGTAGTTACTAAATTTAGCATTTTGCTAAGAACCCAGCAAGAGAATAAAAAGGAAAATAAAACCCAAAGCAATCAGTTGCCTGCTTATTTTCAACCCATCTCTCTTATAATGGAGTATGGAAAAATGCTCAAGGATAGAAAAAAGCCCTGTATTGCAAGATGAGGATGTACTTAAGTTAAACATTAACTTAAATATTAACAGTTTATTAAGTGCTTAAAATGTAAATATTCAGTTTCACAGACCAGGAACCAGACTGGTAACTTGCACTATTTTTCGTACAGGTCAGGGCTGGGGAGATAGCTTAGCGGCCTAAGTGCCTGCATGGAAAGCACAAGGTCCTGAGTTCGATCTCCAGTACTGCAAGACAAATAAACAAACAACAACAGCAAAAAACTATTCCACGGACAGGTCCTCACTGCTGAATTCATTATGTACATGACAGCCTTTCCCATTTGGAGCATGGAGGCTTTTCCTAAATGTATCACCACAATGCTGGAATATTTTTGGCTTCAAACAACTTGCTGTTTTTAAAAAATTCATATTTTTTTTAGCTTAGCAAAGTCAATATAAATATGTCTGATGAATGATATTGGTTTGTCTCCTGACCTTTTGAATGCCCTTTGCTTGGCAGGGTAGTAAAAAATGTAGGTGACAAATAGGTAATATGTAGAAAAATTTATGCTATCTACTCAAGTATATGTATGTATTTCTAGTTTTAAGAGCAATCTTTAGGGGCTAGGGAGATAGCTCAGCAGCATAAGTGCCTGCCTGGCAAACACAAGGTCCTGAGTTGAATCCCCGGAATAAAAAAAAATTGTATTATTATAAAAACGATAGTTGAAAAAATGTTTTCCATGTAGTATGAAAACGCTGGCATTTGAAAGACTGATCGTGTTTTGTGCTCTGAGTGACAAGGTAAAGGCAGCAATTCACAGTGCACTAACTGCTGTTATGCTCTTATTATTTGGTTATGAAACTTTGTTCACTCTTTTCATAAAATAAACAATGCAGGCTTAGAGCAAGAAATACTGATGCAAAGTCAAAAGACTGGAAAGAAAATCTCTTCTTTATACTAAAATAATACTAAATATGATTTCCATGGCAGAAAGGATGCCAAAATACTACAGTATTGAAGTTTTTACAACAATTAGTGATAAATTATATTCAACTACATGCCTATAAAAGGGATTGCAAAGCCAAAGAGAAGATGATCTTCCATTATGGGTCCCTTTTTTGTTTTTTTTTTCTTTTGGCAGAATCGGGGATTGAACTCAAGCCCTTGTGCTAGCCAGGCAAGCACTTATTCTACTGAGCTATCTCCCTGGCCCCTACTTGGGCTATTTGGAAGCTCACAGGTCAAATTTTGAAAACTATATAACTAATGAATCTTTTAATATAGCTATATTAATGTAATATAGCTTCCACTCTTATTTAATAATTAACTGATATTTAGAATAATAGCAGCTCTTCTCTATAGAAAAAAAATTAGAGAACCTTAAGTTTAGAGAGTTCTTACAATTCAAATCTTTATTAAAGTCTAAAAATTGCTTCAGTTAATCTCTGAAAATCACTACAGAATGTACAAGTGTGGGTTTTTTTTTAATTTTCAGAAATTGAACATTTTTAATACCTAATTTGAAATCAGTTATCAATTTGCTAAATAATGAGTGGATGGCTCAAACCCCTCAGTAAGTACTCACAAGTAACTTATTAGTTTGTAAAGCTTATGAAATGTGAAAATATTAAGGGGTTATAATAATATAATGTAATCATGGTAAATATATAAAAAAAGATTTAAATTGACCTACTTGGGCAGTGTTCATTGTATTGTATAAAACTCTATATAATCACCCTGCATATCTTAAAAATTATGCCATCAACAATCATAAGCTAAGTACGTGCTATGCAGTAGGGAGGCAAAGGACAGGGAACAAATGTCTATTTCCATTTACTATTAGTCTTACTCTATATTTTTGGAGATGTAGAATTTTTTCTCTCTCAGTCCTACCCAATCATAAGTCAAATATTCATAGAATGCATGCAAGATAAAATCTATTTTTAATCTTCACATATGCATTTCACTAAGTATTAGGGAATGTCACTACCTGGATTTACAGATAAAAAGGAGAAGCACAGTAGGCAAACACCAAAAATTACAAACATGCAGAGCGGTACGGCTACAATTTAAACCCAGGACCGCCAGCCCTCAACACGCTGCTTTAATGAGCTGGTAGAGAATAATCAAAAACTTTCCATCTCTCCAGCTCAGGTGAAAATTATACTCTCTCACTCATAGAAAATTGTTTTCGAGCTGTCACAGATTGGCCAGCAGGTTCATTTTACTTTGCCTGTGACTTACTTATTGTAGTAACAGAACAAAGAAGAGCAACAATAAATTCTAGGTGAGCTTTAAAGATGCTTCCTACATATATGTTATTCGATTCTTTTTTTTTTTTTTTTTTTAGAACCGGGGATTGAACTCATGCCCTTGTGCCTGCCAGGGAAGCGCTAATTCTATTGCGCCATCTCCCTGGCTTCTGTTATTCGAGTCTTATGAGTAAAATATGTGGCATGTAAGGTGCACGGGGATCTTAGGGTTTTCTTTAACACAAAACATCTATAAACATGGTAATGAAATCCAGATTAAAAATCTGGAATGAAAACAAATAATCACAGACAAATTGCATTTGTAAAGAAGGCAACATATAAACAAGATGGAAACTTGAGGTGTCGCTGGCACTGGAGGGGAGGAGCCAAACATGGCTTATCCACATTCAGGGCTAAGAGGACCCATTTAATGGAGGAGGAAAGAGGTGCAGGAATGAGAAGTGACTTGAACAATTAATAATCCTCTCCTAAAAGGACTTCAGGGCCTGCAAATCCTTCTTTTTTGGCACTGTATTGTCTGTTAAGGTTTATTTATTATCTACCAACATCTTCAATATATTATCTTTACATTAGCCTGATGCTATAATTCACATCATCATATTTTACAAATGAAGTGACTACGGCTCACTGAGCTTAAGCAACCTGCTAAAGATAAAAATCAAATAAATGCCAAGCCCAGGATTCCTGTCATCTCCGGCTGTCTGGACTACATACAGCATTCTACACCAATTCTATCGGAACCAATCCTAAAGGGGACTTCAGAAAGTATCACCAGTGAGTTTGCTCCTAGGGAACACTGGTGCATGCTTAATTCTTCAGGCTTCATTGAAATACTAAAATCATTTAAAAATTCCATAAAGGCAATGGCCATAGGAAAAGGAAGTTTGATAAGTTCAATAAGGAAGTAAAGATACTTGGTCAGCAACAGGGTGGGGGGAAGCATTCATCTTTTTGGGTACTGTAATTTTTCTTAATAGAAAAAAAATGTTTCTATTACCCAGGAGGAAAGAAGCGATGATGTCTATTTTTCCTTCCCATACTGCAAAAAAAAAAAAAAATGACATAATCGAGGCAGTTTCACAAAAATGAGAAGATCTGCTATGCAATGATACAGCTATCAGGTTCATCACCCAGATTTATTTACAATTCACTCACAGACAAAAGGGATTTGGATGTCTTTAGGCTGGCTTCAGGTAGAGACAAACCAGTTTCAGATGTAAAACAAATAATGTCATTCTTCCTCCCTAAAAAGCCCCAAGTCTAAGTAAGCCAGGCAAAGGCTAACTCCTCGAGGAAAAAGTATTGAGTTATTGATGATGTAAGAGTCCAAAGCTTGCTGATTGCTGTATCTCGAGTTACCGGGCAGCTCCTACTTGAAGATAAAAATAGAGCACATAGTAGAACATGTAATTAAAACTCAGTATAGATTCTCAAATAAAAAAATACTTCAGTGAGCATCCTTATCAAAAGGGATTATCTTTGGCTCACCTATGTAATTGCTAACTGCCTTTAAAAAAATCTTGATAACTGGTCTGTCAACTTAGCTTAGCCAATATCAATAATACACAGTAGACATAAAGGTAATAACCAGCTCTCATTCACTACTGCCTTCATAAACCTGACAATCTAGTGACAAATATATCTACCAATAAGTCTCAAATTTGATTTTTTGTTCATAAGAAAAAATAAAAACGTATTTAAAAGAATAATAATAATAATAACAATATACTGGGCTG